CACCTGTAAATAATTAAAACCAAACAGCAGTCCCAGAGATAAGACCCTCCCTTAAATCACTGCCCATCTTCACAGATTTTTACGTGTTCTCACCATAAAAATATAAGTATGGTAGGTAATATACATGCTAATTGGCTTCATTTGGCCATTTCACAATGCACACATTTCCAAGTCATGTTATACTCAGTAGATTATACAACTCTTATGTCTCAATGAAATAAAATAAAAACTTTAAAAATAAAAAAGGGTACATTTTACTGTACTTAAATCTTGCCTAATCCCTGGTGATTTTTATACACAACCAACATGTCACATAATATCATCAATTACCTAAAGCTGAAAAATTAATGAATATTGATTAGGACTACTAGATCCAGTCATCCACTGAACGGTCAAAATACGGCAATAAAAGAACGTGACACACACAGGCTCCCAAAACACTTAGAAAGGCGTTAAGTATTAGGCACCCCGCCGGAGGCTGAGAAATCCGAAGTAGGCGCCAAAACAGGAAACGTGGCTGGAAACCTGAAGCAAACTGCGTAACTGCCTGACTCTTCGCCTCGCCCCCACCGCCCGCAACCCGGAAGTGTGGCTCACGCCTAGCCGCCAATAGCGCATGTGCAATACGTAGTTTGACCAATCAAGAAGGAGTGAGGCGGGCGTTAGGGCGGAAATAGTGCTCGCAAACAGGAAGTGTGGCAGTCTACTACTTAACTGCGGGTGCGTGGTATGGAGGCCTACGAGCAGGTCCAAAAGGGACCCCTGAAACTAAAAGGCGTTGCAGAGCTCGGCGTGACCAAGCGGTAAGGCCCGCGGGCCTGCGGGACTCCACCTCCCGTCCCCCTTAGACCTTTTCCCCTGACACGCTCATCCTCATCTGTCCATTCTCTTGTCTCCTTTCCCAGGAAGAAGAAAAAGAAGGACAAAGACAAGGCGAAACTCCTGGAAGCAATGGGAACGAGCAAGAAGAACGAGGAGGAGAAGCGGCGTGGCCTGGACAAGAGGACCCCGGCCCAGGTGGCCTTCGAGAAGATGCAGGAGAAGCGGGTGAGGTGAAGAGGTGATTTGCGAGTAGGCGAGGAAGCTGGCGGGCGAGGAGGCGGGGCTGCAGGAGGTTGGTGCTGGGACTCTAGGGAGTCGGGCGAACGGTCAGAGAGGACCTTAATTTCGGGGAAAAGATGCTGTATCAGTGAGAAAAGGTCCACGGCCAGGGAAGCTCGGAGAACGCGAAGACACCCCCGGGGCACAGTAGCAGGCAGAGGGAAGCTATGGGTGCTTTTTAAAGGAGGCCAGAGCTGGGCACCCGGGTTTGGATTCCAGAGCTGTGGTTCATTGCTCTGTGACACTAGGCCAGTGTCCCAGTTTTCTTAACGTGTCCCAGTGTCCTTATCTGTAGGAGTCAGGATAGTACTTTCTTCTAAGAGGTTGGATGAAGTGATGCAGGGCAGGTAAAGCAGCAGGCAATAGGTGTGGCATAAAGTAAACTTTCAGTGAATGGTAGCCATTGATATTAAAAGGCCATGCTAACTGCTCTAAGTCACCACAAAGTCTGTTTCTGTCATGACTTAGTTTGATAGACTCAACCATATTGTATTTTCTGAGCCCGTAGTTCAGTGGTTAGGGCACTGACCACAAACGTTGGGGCTGTCCGGTTCAAACCAGGCCAGGCCTGCTAAACAACAATGACAACTACAACAACAACAGAAATAGCTGGATGTTGTGGTGGGCACCTGTAGTCCTAGCTACTTGGGAGGCTGAGGTAAGAGAATCCCTTAAGCCCAAGAGTTTGAGGTTGCGGTGAACTGTGATGCCACAGCACTCTACCAAGGGCAACATAGTGAGGCTCTGTTTCAAAAAAAAAAAAAAAGAATCCAGTAATTATTTTTCTTGATATTATGTGTAAATCTGGGTGGTGTGGGGCAGAAGAGGTCAGGCAGGCAGGGTAAGGTGGATAAACTAAGTCCATTAATTTGGAGAAAGGGAATCATCAGTCTTTAAGTGAGAGTGGCTCTTAACTGAGGGCAACCTCCTTACCACCACCACTATCACAGACCATCACATACGTGGCAATGTCTGGGACATACTCTACTTACATCTGGACAAGGGAATGCTCTTGGCAACCAGTGAGTGGCGGCCAATGATGTTGGTATACATCCTACTATGCACAGGACACACACAGCAAAGAAGAGATTGACCCTAATATCAGTAGTGCCAAGGCTGAGAAACCCTAACCCTGTTGTAGGTGCACAGTGACACTGGAGAAAGTTAACTCATTACTCCCTAAACTAATTCAGGCATACAAAAGACATGGTTCCACTAGCTCTGACAAGACGGACCTGGGTTTGACTCTGTACCACTTGGTAGTGTTATAACTCTGGATGAGTCGGTTGCCTTCCATTTAAAGTAGGGCCGATGGGTGGTGCCTGTGGCTCATGAGTAGAGCGCTGGCCCCATATACTGAGGGTTGCGGGTTCGAACCCAGCCCTGGCCAAACTGCAACAAAAAAGTAGCTGGGCGTTATTGCAGGCAGCTGTAGTCCCAGCTACTTGGGAGGCTGAGGCAAGAGAATCGCCTAAGCCCAAGAGCTAGAGGTTGCTGTGAACTGTGACACCACAGCACTTTACTGAGGGCCACAAAATGAGACTCTGTCTCTTAAATAAGTAAATAAATAAATAAATAAAGTGGGGCTGAAGTCTACCCAATATGAGCCGGCATGGTGGCTCACAATTATAATTATGAGCTACTCAGCTCATAATTATAATTATGCTGAGGCAGGATGGTTGCTTAAGCCTAGGAGTTCAAGGTTACAGTGAGCTATGGTCACTCCACCTTGGGTGATAGAGTAACATTCCTTCACTTTAAAAAAAAAAATAGTAGAGGAAGAAAGGCTGATGAGAGTGGGTCCAAGAGAGGGTGGGGAAAGACAGAGGCAGAAATGAGGAAAGAAAAGGCAGAAATAACTCTTTAGAGATTATTGTCCATCAGAGGTAACAGAGAAATGGACCTATAACTGGAAGTGAGTAGAGACACAAAGGGAAATTTTTTTTTCTTTTTTTTTTTTTTTTAAGACAGAGGCTTACTTTGTTGCCCTGAATAGAGTGCCATGGTGTCATAGCTCACAGCAACCTCAAACTCTTGGGCTTAAGCGATTCTCTTTCCTCAGCTTCCCAAGTAGCTGGGACCATAAGGCACCCACCACAATGCTTGGCTATTTTTAGAGATGAGGTCTTGCTCTGGGTCAGGCTGGTTTCGAACCTGTGAGCTCAGGCAGTCTACCTGCCTCGGCCTCCCAAGTGCTAGGAGTACAGGAGTGAGCCACCATGCCCAGCAGACAAGGGGAAATTTTTATTGTGTTTGTTGTTCTTTAAAGTGGGAGTCATTGCAGTGTGTTCTGTTTGGTTGAGAAGAGAGATGAGGCAAGTGAGTGAGAAGGGGGAGGGATGTAGGCAGAGCCAGGTACAGTTGGAAAATGCAGATTCTCTTGTGGGCACAATGGCTGTTCAGCTCCTCATCTCCTGGGAGAAGGACCCACATCTCCAGCTCCATCATCAGGTGTGCACTCTGCTCTTTGTTCTCTCCATCTGGAAAGTGAAGTTGGTGACAGCACCAGAATCTGGGGTTGAGGAAGGGAGAACAGAGCCTGGCCAAGTGCCTGGCATCATGTGACAGTTAGAAAAGCCAGTATGATCTTTTGTGAGAAGATCCAAGCCTCAGATGGGCTCACAGCAGGAAGAGGAGAGGCAAGGATGGACACAGGAGGTAAGGAAGGAGTGAAGGAGAAGAAGAAGAGGAAGGACAAGGAAGAACAACCAGGTGGTAGCTACCAGTAATATTATCTTTCATGGTTCTTTGGGTTGACTGTGTTCAGCAGGGTGGTTTTCTTGTGAACCTCATTTGGAGTATGGTATAGTCAGGTGGCAGCAAGGTCCAGAGTCTTCTGGAGGCACAGCTGAGCTAGAAGAGCAAAGATGGCTTTGCCATCACTTGCCTGGTACCTCAGTGCTGCTTTTGTGGCCTTTTCTCATCTTGTCCTCCAGGTCTGTCCTTTCCACTGGGGCTATTAGACTTCCTTCATGGTAGCTGGATTCCATGGGCATGAAGCCAGAGTTGCCAGGTTGTCTTATGGCTTCAGCTCTTGAGTTAACTGAATCCAGAGCCAGTTCAGAGTCTGTGGCCTGGGGGACTACACAGGGCATAAACTAGGAGCAGCCTGGCTTATGGGAGCCACCAAAGAGTCAGCCACAGTCACCCTGAGGTGCACCGTGTGTGGCCGCAGATCTGTCTGGCTCTGCATCCCACACACTCAACTCTTACTAGTCTTAACAAATATTAGGTGTTTGGAATGAGGGTGAGAGTAGGATGTGGTACAGGATGCACATTGCAGAATCATACTGGGGATGGTAATGTGGGTCTTGTAGCCCTCCTGGGCACTGTGACTAGTGGTCAAGATAGATACTACCACTTGAGAGTCCACTCTGTCTCCTTTACCTCCCTCATTGCTCATCCTTCCTCAAACCCCATTTGGGGTTTGTTTTCCTGCACAGTGAGAGTCTTGTCAGTTGACTAAGGATGCAGGAAATCCATGTACAGCTTCCAGCAGATTGTGCCCATCCTCATATGCTCACTTGATACTCAAGTGTTTCCTGCCACTCACCAAGAACTAGAACTAGACTGAAGGGCAACTTGACCCAGGCTCCCTGTGGGCCACTCTGAGTAGAGTTGAGGGAGGGGGGTGAGGTGTATAGCCTGAAATCTCCAGCTATTCTATATGTGAGAGCCAGGCTAACTGTAGCTCCCACCTTCCATCTTGTGCCAGCCTAGACTGTGTGGAAGTTGAAAACTCACCTCCACGTCTCTTCTCTCTGCAGCAAATGGAAAGAATCCTGAAGAAAGCATCTAAAACCCACAAGCAGAGAGTGGAGGTAAGTCACCATGCCTAGTGGGAGAGACTGAGCCTTTTAAGGGCCTGGAGGCTGGGAGCCATTAGAGTGTTGGCAGGGAGGGGAGTTAACCCAACAGAAGTGACACCTCTCTGGGGTCAATTAGAGGAGAGCCCAGGGTTTAGGTATGTAAAAGATCTGCCAAAGTGGGTTTAAGAGGGAGGGGGCTCAGTCAGGAGAGACAGTATAGGGTGGAGCTGGGCAGTTAGCACCCTGCTCGGGTTGATGCTAACACAGGCTTTCTCCTTCCCTTTCCCAGGATTTCAACAGACACCTGGATACACTCACAGAGCATTACGACATTCCCAAAGTCAGCTGGACAAAGTAGCCTCCTGGCCATGGGTCTGGAGTGGCATCAAGAGCAAGCAGAAGGCCAATTTGGGGTTATGTTTCGTCCCTCTGGTATTTTCTAGAAACAATGCTTTACACACACCCTCGTGGTTTCTGCTGTGACAGTACTTTTGGAAGATGTGTAACCTCATTTTGGAACTGATTAAAGTAAGACTGTCCTTTTACTCAACTTAGGTTTCTTGGTAACACACGGAAGATACACCTTTTTCGTTCGGATAGAAAGTTTTGAAGGTTCATCTAGAGAAGGGGTTCTCAGACTTTTTAAACAGGGGGTCAGTTCACTGTCCCTCAGACCATTGGAAGGCTGGACTGCATGCCCCGGGAGGAGTCGGCTGCTAAGCAGGACAGGCAGCGGCGGCAAAAACACCCGGCGGGCCAGATAAATGTTCTCGGCAGGCCACATATGGCCTGCAGGCCATAGTTTGAGGACGCCTGATCTAGAGGTAAAAGTCATTTCTTTGTGCCATGTAAAAATGATTTTACTCCCAAGTCATGGCTACACACTGAGGCCAGCCAGCCGTCTTCACCTGGATGAGACAGATTCCAGAGGATAAGGAGCTAATGCTAATGTGGCCTGCACTTTGCAGACCACTGCAAAAACCTGTATGGGTTGCCCCAGGAAGCCACTCACAGCTTTGTGGCCTTCACACTGCCTCTTCAGCCACCTAGCCAGTGAGACAACGCGGCATAAGTAGCAGAACCACTACCTAAAGCAAGGATGGGGTATTGCCATGACAGGCATTGCCAGTCAATCATAGCATTCTTTGTAATGGAGCCCAGACACAGCCTGCCTCACAAAGCCTCAACTTAGACTATAAGCAGCGTCTCATATTCACTCAGAATTGGCATATCACATGGAGCCAAGTGTTGAGTCTGGGGCTGTCCTGTGTAAACTAGAATAAAGCAAAATTCAGTTCTTAAATGTAAGTCTGAGTGTCTTTCTGTAGGCTGATTGTCACAGAAATGCTGCCTTTTGGATCTATGGCATGTGAAGAATGTGTGATGTAAAACAACTCTGTTTGGAAAACCTTAGACGGCATATCTGTTTCCACCTGGGGTTCACAACTAGGGGACATGACATGCTCTCATTAGCAGTGGCTCCTTCTGGCAGTGATTCTTTCACTGTCTGATGGAAAGACAGTTTCAGGCTTTTTCCTCCATGAGCTAGCAGCTAGGGTAGGGGTCCTCAAACTTTTTAAAGAGGGGGCTGGTTCACTGTCCCTCAGACCGTTGGAGGGCCGGACTGCGGGCCCCCGGATGAGTCGGCTGCTAAAACACCTGGCAGGCTGGATAAATGTCCTAGGTGGCTGCATGTGGCCCGCAGGCCATAGTTTAAGGACGCCTGAGCTAGGGTCTGTGTGCATAATGTGATTCTTTGAAAAGCCTTTATCAGTATGGTGGAACAGTTTATTTTGGTTATCCATCTCTGCATAACCTCTCCAAAATACAGTGGCTTAAAACAATAAGGATTTATTATCTCTCACAATTCTGTGGGTTGACTGTACTCTACTGGAAGGTTCTGCTTCATGTAGTGTGGTTTAGTTCTGTGGTCACCAGCCCCTGGGCCGGAGACAGGTACCCGGCCACAGCCTGTTAGGAATTGCACTGCACAGCAGGAGTTGAGCAGTGGAAAAGCAAGTAAAGCTTTATCTATGTTTGCAGCTGCTCTTCATAACTCAAATCACCACCTGAGCTCTGCCTCCTGTCGGACTGACAGCATCAGATTCTCATGGGAGCATGAACCCTGCTATAAACTGTATGCGAGGGATCTAGGTTGCACGCTTAACAAGACTAATGCCTAGTGATCTGAGGTGGAGATGAGGTGGTCATGCTAGCTCTGGGCCATCCAGTTGCAGGAAGACAAGCTCATGGCTACCACTGATTCTGAGTGAGTTGTATAATTATTCTATGTATTACAATGTAATACTAGAAATAAAGTATATTATGTAATGCAATGGAATCATCTACCCTGCCCCTAGTCTGTGGAAAAATTGTCTTCCATGAACTAGTCCCTGGTGCCGAAAAGGTTGGTTCACCCATTTAGCTATATTGACTTACCTGGGGCTGAAAAGTCCAAGATGACATTTCATCCTCTGAATATCCCCATATAGCCTATTTCATTGGCCAAAAGCAAGTCACATAACACAACACAGAGTTTAGGAGGGAACTACACAAGGGGAGGAAGACCTGAAGGTGTGGTTTGTTGGGGGCCATCGCTGTTATTGTCCACCACAGCTGTTCTCGAATTCTGCACATTAGTATCTTTTAGGGAACATTAAGAACTACTGAGGGATGGCTGGACACCTGTAGCTCAGTAGTTAGGGTGCCGGCCACATACACCTAGCTGCTGGGTTCGAACCTGGCCTGGTCCTGCTAAACAACAATGACAACTACAACAAAAAAATAGCTGGGCATTGTGTCATGCACCTGTAGTCCCAGCTACTTGGGAGGCTGAGGCAAGAGAATCACTTAAGCCTGAGAGTTTGAGGTTGCTGTGAGCTGTGACACTACAGCACTCTACAGAGGGCAACACTCTACAGAGGGCGACATAGTGAGACTCTGTCTCAGGAAAAAAAAACTACCAAGGCCTAAAACCTGTGTGTAGAGATTCTGTTTTAATTGGTCTAGGGTGGGATTTGGTCATTGGGATTTTTTTAAGAGCTCCCCAGATAACACTTATATGAAGTAAAGTTTGAGAAACCCTGATCTATTATAATAGGTATGGTCTTATCTGTATTTATTAAAACGTTCTGTCCTATGTTAAACCTCATCTGGTGTGATTTTCCTGTTCTGCTCTGATGTCGGAAAACATGCAATACTTCTGTTGTATTCTTCTCAAGCCCTTGTTCATAAATTGCATAAAATAAAACTACAAATAACAGAAACAGTTATGGCTTCTAGGAAAGATTTTCTAAGTGATCTGAAAAAAAATACTTCAGGAATATGAAATACTTCAGGAATATGAATTATGTGCCTATTAATGTGATATGAAAATGATGTGTTCCATGGCAAGAGGTTAGTGACAATGCTGAGTACATTCCTTGGTCTTCAAACACATTTGATCTGGTTATAGGCAGAAACAGCCTGTTCTACTGGAAATAACAAAAGTTATTTTAGAATACACAAAGTTTATGGGAAGAGTGCACAGAGCTAATCAGTACTGTGGATTTTACGGATTTACAAAGAGGTTCTACAAATGGTGAAATATTTACTCTTCTGGATGATGGAAGTTGCAGTTGTGAACAGTTACATCCTTTACTTACTAGATATTGAGAGTGGAGGAAAAAATGCTGACACACCTTTCTCACAGGGGAAATCTCATCTCAACTTGTGTTCCTCATATTTGAGGAACAGAAATTCAAGAAAGAAGGAAAGACCATCATCTTTGACACTGAGGAAAAGCCAAATTGGAAGATGCAATTCATAATGAAAAATGAAAAATAGGCTTGGCGCCTGTGGCTCAAGTGGCTAAGGTGCCAGCCACATACACCTAAGGTGGCAAATTCAAATCCAAACTGGGCCCGCCAAACAACAATGACGACTGCAACAACAACAAAAATAGTCTCAGCTACTTGGGAAGCTGAGGCAGGAGACTCTCTTGAGCCCAGGAGTTGGAGGTTGCTGTGAGTTGTGATGCCACAGC